GGTTGATTGGATTCCAATCAGTAGCCGGATGTGTGCGGTCCGATTGGCTGGCTCGTTCAAAACTTCGAAGTCGCGTGGGACTAACAGGTGTCTATTCGTTATCGCTGCCTATGCACCGACAAACTGTAGCGATGACTCGGTAAAAGACGACTTCTATCGCCAACTGAACGAACTCCTTCGCCACAGAAGAAGCTCGGACACTGTAGTGCTGGCCGGGCCTCTGAATGCTCAAGTTGGAGATTATCCACTGATCAACTGCTTGTGGGCTGCCAACATGGTATAGGCTCCCGTAATGATAACGGTAAGCGGTTACCACATTTGTGTGAGGATGCTCGCTTATTTCTTTCGAGCACTAATTTCCGACACAGCACCCGCCGAAGGGTGACTTGGCGCCCACCAGCCTCGAACCAGCTATGGACGCAAATCGATCACATTGCCATCAGTTACCGCTGGAGAGGCTGTGTCCAGAACTGTCGCTCGATTTGAAGCACAGGTGTTGACACCGATCATGCAGTTGTACGTACTGACCTGCGGATGCGCTTTGGCGGACGCCCACGACGACGCTGTGAGCGCATTGACACCGGCAGACTGGCGAAGCCAGCTGTTCTGAATGCTTATCAAATTACGCTGTCATGCGTGTTGGATAAACGCTCACTGGATGCAATCGAAGCTCACTGGTCTCATATTCACCAGGCCTTACTTGCAGCAGGCAAATCCTCATGTGGTATGTCTAATAGCCAACATGGACATTGGGTCTCTTCGCAGTCTCTGGAACTTATGGATGCTCGCTGGCATATCCCGGCTGGAAGCGAACACAATGAAACTCGCAAAGAGCTCCGGGCAAAACTCCGTGCTAGCCTGAAGAGAGACCGCAAATCCTGGTGGTCTCGTCGTGCAGCAGAGATGGAAATGGCCGCTGCCCTTGGTAACCATCGTGAGTTATTCCGTCTTATACGGGAAACGGGCAGCTGGAGACCTGGTGTTAGTGAAACAATTTGTGACGAGTGGACAGCCTATCCACAACTTATCAAAACGCCTGGAACGTTGGGCTGAGCACTTTAAAAGGCAATTTAATCGTTCGGAATTATTAGATTTCTCGCCGACCAGTGATCGCCCCACTCCCTGAGCTGTCCCTTTGGATCCACCCTCTCGCTCAGAAGTCGAACATGAGATCGGACTGTTGAAGTTAAATAAAGCCACGGGACCTGATGACCTTCCACCAGCCCTCTTCAAATTCGGGGGACCTTCTCCTGTGGATAATTTACACGAATTGCTAGTTAAACTGTGGGAGCACGAAACTGTCCCAACCGATTGGAGCCGCTCCATCATAGTCCCATTTTTCAAAGGAGGCTCACGATCGGAATGCGGCAGCCATAGAGGAATCAGTCTGATCTACATCGCCTCCAAATTGCCTGCCTCTGTCATCCTTCCCAGACTGACTGGCACTCGTGAAAGCCAGATTCGTGAAGAGCAAGCTGGATTTCGTCGAGGTCGTAGCTGCATTGATCACATCTTCACCTTGCGTCAGTTGTTGGAGCACCGTCACACATATTGGCCGCCGGCCGTTGTCGTGTTCCTCGATACCAAAGGTGCATTCGATTCGGTGGATAGACATGCACTTTGGGACTGTCTACTCAGGAAAGGTGTACCTGAGAAATATGTGAATATTATCCGAGCATTATATACGCGTAGCTCGGGCAGAGTGAGGGCTTACGGCAAGTTGTCGTCGCCCTTTAATATCTCCAGCAGCGTGAGACAAGGTTGCCCGCTGTCACCTTTCCTCTTCAACTTCGCTATTGACGAAGTCATGGAAATCGCGTTCACAGGACACGACTTAGAAGGTGTGGAGCTACTCCCAGGAGAACGACGTCTTGATTTAGAGTATGCTGACGATATTGCCCTGATCTGTGACAGCTCACAAACGTGCCAAGCGGCACTGGACAGATTGGCACTAGCTGTCCGTCACTTCGGGCTTTGCTTTGCACCATCGAAGTGCAAAGCGTTTCTCCAAGATTGGTCTGGACCGCCTCCTACGCTGACCCGTGGTGGGGATCAGCTAGAAGTCGCTCAAAAATTCAACTACCTGGGAAGTTGTATCAGCGCCCGCGGGATTGAAGATGAAATCACGAATCGTATAGCAAAAGCTCGGAGCGCTTTTGCTAACCTTCGCCACTTATGGCGCCGGCGCGACATCACTCTTGCCCTGAATGGTAGAGTGTACAATGCAGCAGTACGTTCGACCCTATTGTACGGTTGTGAAACCTGGCCGCTTAAAGCAGCGGACCTGAAGAGGCTAGTTACGTTCGACCACCGGTGCCTTCGTAATTTATTTCACATTTGGTGAGAACACTGCGTGAGCAACAAGCGTGTTCGACGCCTTGTTTATGGCACAGGAAAAGGAACTGAACCGCTCAGCACCGTTATTTCACGCATCAGGCTCCGATGGCTCGGCCACGTGTTACGCATGCCAGCCCACCGACTTCCGCGACGTGTGTTGTTTGCGCGCCGGGGGTGTGGATGGAAGAAGAGGAGGGGTGGCCAAGCGATGACTTGGACCAGATGAATGAAGACCCTCCCTTCTGACCTGTCCTCGGTTGGAGCGTCTCGGCTCCCTGGTTGGGGTCCGAAAGACGATGAACACGTTTGGTTGGACACACATGCTGATATGGCAAGGAGCCGACCTCAGTGGCGTTCGTACTGTGAGTTTCTTTGTCCCACCCCATCCGTCTTATCCTCCCCCTCCAACCACGATCTCATTACTTAGCCTTATATAATTTTGAATAATAATTTCTTTTGGGTGCACAGCAGCCGGCTGGTAGCTTACCGGAACGATGCCCATCCGTTACCGGCAGCTCAGCCAGCTTTCACCAATTTTTTTCTCTCCTTTTTGCTTTGTATTGCGGCACAGTAACAGGTGTTCCCCACCTCTAGCTAACGTGTATGAAAAAAAAGAAGTCGATGTCATCTACCTGGACGGTTCAATAGCGTTTGATTGCTTAGACCATCGCGTTCTCCTTCATAAGCTTCAGAACTACCGCATTGGCGACCCATTCCTGAGTTGGATTAGCAATTTTCTACAGGAACGACGGATAGTGGTGAAAGCCTGAGAATCGTTGTCGGATGAAATCGATGTGCCGTGTGGAGTACCAATAGGCTCGGTTCTTGGACCTCGTCTACTCTTGGTGTTCATTAACGATTTGGCGAGATCAATTACTTCCGATTTCCTATTTTTCGTTGATGCTATCAAGATATAGCGAAGGATCAGAGGACCGGACGACCATGAATGGCTCCAGTGCGATCTTAACACAGTGTTAAACTAGTCAGTTCAAGACGCCCTACCATGCAACCTAGACAAATGTCGCGTTGTGCAATTACGCCATAGACATAACTACACCTAATTACTTGGGACAAACTGATTGCATACCAGCTCCCTGAAACGTGACCTTGGTGTGCTCGTACAGAGCGACCTCAACCGTTCAGAACAGGCTGTGGTAGCTGCGAAAAGAGGCAACCAGCACGTCGGCATGCTGCGAGAAACATTCAGGAGATTTGACCCATCAATCTTCCCAATGATACACACTTCCTACGTATGCCCGCATGTCGAATACGCTATCCAAGCTTGGCAACCTAGGTTGAAGCGCTACCTAAAAGCGATAGAGGCACCTCAACGAAGATCTACAAAGAATGTAAAGGTCCTGCGCTATCACTTTTACCACCGAAGGCTGAAGTTGCTGGGAATTTTCAGCGGACGTTATCGAAGGCTGCGCGGGGATCTCATATTAGCGGATCAGATACTGAGTGACACCAACCACGTATGCCGTCATTTGCTGGGACTTAGCCACAACACGCAACTCATGGGTAACTGCTTAAAATTGAAGGAACAATATAGCCGTCTAGAGTGTCGGCGGAATTACTTTTCCCTTTGGGTTTATCAACCCTGTAACACACTTCCAGACTCAGTTGTATCCTCTCCTACCTTGGACGTTTTCAAAAAAACGGTTAGATGTTGCTCTTAGCTCCCAGCATTTTGTTGCCTAAACTCCTCTATAGTGGATTACGCCAAGCATGTTTTCAACAGGACTTATGTGTCAAATGGACCTAAGTGATCGACCATATTTTATTTTCTCACGCCTTACCTCAACTATCGCTACACCCCAGTGTCTTTCTGAACGTTTACGCGTGATAATTTTTTTTTCATTTTACACTGATGTTAATTATCAAAGTATTCATCTCGGCAGACGTTCGGTAGATGACCCAGGCATATTTTGATTTCATCGTATTCACCGCAACCATCCTACGGAACGTGTCAAGCACTTGCTTTTATCCCGTGATAAATCATTGTTCCTTTTTCATATAGCTCAAGCCAATGCTGTTAATTGAAAAGATTTCAGTCCCTTCATATTCATACTTCCTGTTGATTTGAGCACCTCGATTAAGCTGCTTTTACAATACTGGCTCATGAAATTTTTTCTTTGTGTGCAGCAAGCCTATACAAATTGAAATGTAACAAGGTTAGGTAGAACCACTTATTAAGAACCAGTGCATTTTTACAGGTATCAAGAAAAAGTATAACACCTTATCCTTTTCTCAGGTATTTTCCTTGGTTGACAACTGCTACATTCACCAATATTAAAAGCAATGTAGCTAATGTGGGCATTAAGTTTATATTACACATAATTAGCCCAGATATAGCACAGTGTTGCTGTTGAATATTTTTTAAACGTTTACATTTTTGAGTGGAGCATTCTACAATTATATACACACGACTATAGGCCGGAATTCCAATGCTGCGTCAGATAACTTGGTTACTACTATATGCAACTGTTGCTTACAGCTTCCCATTGTCAATCCCCATGATATTCGGTTGTTCGTCACACATTACTGAGTGAAACCCTGTGTCCTAGATTCACGAGAAAAGTCACAGTCCACCTTTGTAGTACATAAAGCGTTATCTCTCCTTTTGGAAACAATTAAATGGAACCCTTTGTTTTTTGCCTCAGTTCTCTGCGGTCTGCCAAGGTACTCAGTTATAACCTCCGTCCATGATGAACCGAGAATGCAAAAGCCCCTTTCATGCCGCCACTATTCGAACGGGAAGAAAGAGGAGTTGGTGTAGTGAAAGGAACGGATCAATTGATGATCCTAACGAACTCCATCTTGATCAGCGCAAGTCATTCGAATCGGATATTCCGCCAGCGGCCAAGCATTCAAGGTCGTATGAAAACTGCTTTCAAAAAGTTCAAGAACCCATATATCCCGATTTGACTCACTGGTTAGCCTTTGACCTAGTTACCGCTGGACGACAAGATATCGAACTTGGTCGTGATCAGACGCCTATTGTAAAGATGTCAGCCGTTCTGGGCTCTATATCCGACAACAAGGTACTATTTCGGCCTACTTAGACCTGGCCAGCATCTTTAAATTATTTTATTAAAGCTTTTACTTTAACAGAGATAGGGAATTGTAGAAGTGTGCATTACTCAAACTAACTTAAATCACTATGCTCTAATCCAGTAAAGTAACAGAAACAGGTAAAATATTTCATCTCAAAATGAATTTATATTCCCCGGGTCGGTAATGCTTTTTATCTTACGTGCAATAGCAAACGACACCCGCAGATATCACTAGTATTCGATATTGCACAATACTGCCCAAAGTATTTGTCAGGATACAATATATTAGTGTACATATGCTCACGGCGATGATGAGTGGACGTGTTGGATCAGTAGCACCACAGTTTAAATATGAACAACTTTTTTCACGGTGCCGATCTTAACTTTGCACACATTATAAATATCTCCCTACCACTAGGTTGTTGACCGATTAACGATCAACCTTCAGTCGAAAAGCTTCCTCCACGATGTCTTGGGCCCATTGGAGCTATCAACTTCGTTATCTTCGTCACCACCGCTAATCCTTGCAGCTGAGAATCAAGAGGGTGACTCTCGGATGCGCAACCAGTGGTCAGCGAGCGGAGAGGAGGTACACACAGTATTTACCGACCCCAATGCTTGCATGCAAGGCGATGTTTCCTTTCCACTGGATACTGTGGATGTGTATGACATGAAAGAAAAGCCATCAAGATCCAACGCCTTTTCTCCAGGGCTGGCCGAAGCTATGAATTTGGTGAGGCAGCTCTTTGTATCAGTGATACCCGATTTCTATAGGAGACATCAGGGCAAAAGTTGAATTTTGCTTCAGTTAAATTGCTATCGGTAACAGCCGTCAACTTGCTGATGATAAAACTTTGACTGACTCCTTGGTGGCAATTTTTCGATACGCTTGGCAACTTCTGTACTTGATAGGCTCTGTTGAATCCAGACATCTGGAAGTAAAGCTCCAAATTCAACTCAATCTTTTGTAGCTTCACTATTATTTCTACCTATTTCCACGGTCCTTTTATAATGAATTTGGGTATGGAACCGCGACCATTCCCACACTTGACGTATCCGGTAAGAGCCAACTGTATGCTCCAGTCGCACCTGCAATTTGTTCAGATGACCTGCTTATCTTAATGCCAAGTCAGCGGCAATTTAGACTTGATGTCTCAACCTCCTTGTCCCCAAATTTACTGGAGTCTACAAATGACACATTACACTGCCACCCAAATGTACTAGTTAAATCGTACTTCTAATACTCTTAAACGTATCGACCACGCCAGTTTTATTCGATAAAAATACGCAGACAATGTTGGGGCGAAGAACGCGGACATTAAGCTTCACTGTATCTTTTCCGCGCTACTGATCAATGCTAGCTCCATTGACGACAGACAGCATTGCTTAAGAATTCTTGAGCAATTAAACAACCTGCAAGCAATCCTCGTTGGCAAAACGTGGTGATGTTCCGATACACTGGACTTGACTCAATTGGTTCTTAACTATAACCGTTTCAAAAAAAGCCGGTGTAAAAAGCTAATGATGCATGATCTGCCCACGTCGCATGTCGACCGTAGAATTTCTTAAGCATCCACAACTACTAAAGGTTACAAAATATAAGTGGTAGTAAGTTTCAGGAGCCTCATTTAACTTGGATTCAACTACAACCCACTGAATTCAACAACAAGTATTGACTCTATCAAATTTGCATCTGGAATGCCACACAAACAAAAGATTATGACAAGGGTCTTCAACCTACCAAGTAGACAGTAGTTTTTCCAACCTTCCTTTCTTCTGTTAGAGGTGGTAGTTGGACACAATATATCACTAGGCCATCTGGCTCGACTGATATGGCTGGTGGCATCCGGTACTGGATGTATCTGTCACTGCGGCCTCCGTAGAATAACCACAGGATACTTGCGCCTACTCATAGGCCATAGGTGGCTTGCGCTGCAATACCCAAAGCTCCTTCCACACACCATATGTCCATTGTAAACCCGAAGTAATAAGACAGGAAGCTATGTTGTTTAGAGGCAAGTTTCATCAACGGAGCCGACCCACACTCCTTTAACATTAACAGCATTAGCACTCCAGTCACTAACTGGGGAATCATGCTTACTAGACGTACACAAAACGGTGATAAGGTCATACACCGCTCCCAACTGGATGGAACCAATAAATGAGCCCAGCACGGACACGAGGGCCGTGCACGCCTTCCTCCCAATAGCGCTTCACCGTCTCCTGGGACCAGTATAAACGAGGTGGAGGGTGTTAGACAGGTAGGCACCTTGTAAAGATTCACACCAAGTGCAGCCACACCAGTGATATCAATCAACAGCCAACACCTGAAATGTAAGGTACTCAACACGCCAACAAACGTACAGACCAGCTGCAGCGATAATTTAGCACATGTGCCACCCCAACTTCCCCGTTCGTCTGGGTTAGCGAACTTCATGGAATCGGTGCCAGCGTTGCGCTGATAATAATTATCAATTCAGCTAACTCGTCATTTAGATGTTAGCCCCTTGTGACCACCCCGGTGGCTTGCCAAGTCGGTTTGGTTGAGGTACTCGCTACCGCATAAGCTTGTGCTTCACCTCAATGGGTTAGAGTCCATCGGCGCCTATCGCATCCGTACCCGGCGTTTCAACTCCTTATGTAAAATTGTTTTCTCCTGTAGCTGAGAAATCGCCCCCTTAATAACTCACGCCATTCGCTTCAATCAACTGACGTCGATTCCCAACATCTGAAAGAAAACTTAGTTCATGATAAACTAATCACGATGATGCCCTGGTAACTTATTACCGGTGTTTCCACGTTCCGCTTCCCTCGCTAAGTTGTCCATACAACAGCTACTTGGGTATTCGCGTCGGATTCATGAGGCTGATATGTCCCAGTCACACCACAAGTGCCTCAGCAGAAGTGTGCAGTCCAGTGCATGCATGCGTATGCGGCGCAGAAGTTTCGTATCTGCAACTCCAGCCCACGTGCAAAATCCGACGTAGGCACTGTTGACGGAGGCACTCCAGATAACGGACGCCCTTCCGGTCAAGTGACCAGGTTTCGCTGCCGTCTAGAAGAAAGAACACTACCGACCGGCAAACTCTTAGCCTCGTGCCAACAGTAAGCCAGTGATTCCTCCACGCACGATATCCAGCTTGCCAAATAAAGTTACCGCCTTCGATATGCGGATGCGCAACTCGCTCGTCATCTGAGGGTTGGTTAGTAGTATAATTCCGATGATGTTTCCAATACGTCATCAGCAACATGGACTCCACTACCGGTGATGGCTGAAAATGACAGTCTTGCTTGTGTTAATGATGAGTCAGAATTTCGATGTTGTCTAAGCGAGATCCGATATCCTATGTTGCAACTCATTTGCAATGTGTGCAAACGATGCACAGTCATCGGCAAACAGCAACATGCGGGTGGCTGTCTCACACAAAAGCGTTCTTGCTCCAAATCGACGGACGTTCAGTAGCTTGCCGTCAAAGCTGTGATCCACATGGACACCGAAATGAAAAACCAGCATTAAATTCCCAAGACATTATGGGGCAGAGGCCGATACAGATTTGCTTCACACCAGGGACAACATCAAAGTCATCCGAAGTTTGTCCACAGTTCCACACTCGCCAGCATCCCACTGTGCATATATACAACTAACCATACAAAATTACTCGGACAAACGAACTTACCCAACACCAGCCACAATGCCTCGCGGTTCACCGTGTTAAATGTCTTAATGAAGTCTACCAACAGCGAGTACAATGGTTACTGTCGCTCTTTGCATTTCTCCTGCAAATGACGAACCGTGAACATCATATCCATAGTGCTCCGGCCCGAACAGATTCCGCATTACTCTTTTGCCACTTTCGGTTCAACTATCTGAATGAAGAGGCGGTTGAGCAGAAATTTACGATCACTTCCACTGCACAACTCAGCAATTTGATGCCACGAGAAATCTTGCGACATTACTTGATTTTAACGTAGGTCTCAGCATTATTAGCACCGTTTGTTTTCGTTATTCGGCTGTATTTTCGAGGAAATCTAATAGCATGTCTTCATTCTTTTTCTGTCTACTCTTCTTTTGATTATTTCTTTTTTTGTTTGCTGCGAGGTGCTTTTCCACCTTCTTCATTATGGTGCTTTTATTGAAAATGTCTTCAAGTATTTTGAAAACGAAAGAAAAGACTTAGGCTTGAGACTGCTGAGTAAAAGGAGAACATAGCATAAAAGACCCATGAGCCAGGATAGAAGGGCAAAACTTGGTGTAGAATATTCATTTGTTGTATCACAAAACTTATTTTTATGTAGTTGCAACCCGCGGGCAATTGCTGTGCAGCGCGGACTGCCTCCTTTTCTCCACCACTCCCTATACACCAAAGCAATTGGGTCAACCTAGAAAATGGGAACACCTCATTTCACCAACGAATTGCTTCCAAATCTTTCTGAACCCATTTCACTTCAGCTTTCATCAGCCTACTCTTATCGCAACCAGCCATGTGAATATAACTGCCCGATATGCTTTGATGAAAAATAATATCTTTCCAGCGTTGCTTTCTAACTACCTGATCCTTTCTGTGTTGGTAAACAGGCCGGAGTGAGGTACTGGTTGACTGAAGTACTTTTCATTGAAGGCGGTCTATAGTAATCGTGGGAAATTGAGCCACCTCATACAGTAACAGCACTCCATTGCTTAAGAGTTAGTCCAACTTCTCATTAGCAGCACCAGTTTGTATGCCTCATTCATCTGGATGATTCCAATGTGTTAGATGGCAAGGAAGTTATCAGCAGTATATCTGTATCTCGTACTAACAATGCGAGATCCAACGTTCCTAAGTAGGTCCTAACTGATGACCCATAGGTAACAAGCTGATCTAATAAACCATCCCACTATTGTACGGAAGCAAACTTACATTTCCTCTTGCTGTGTCCTACGCCCCCAGATGACCCACTGGTTAAGAGAACACGGTGTCCCACTCGACCGAGAGTCCGAAAACAGCCACTGCGTGATAATTACTGATGGACATGTGCCAATGAGAAATGTGTTACACCCTCAAGCTGCCTATTTGAACGTGGACCGGTCAGTTGTACAACAACCTCTCTGGCACTCATACGTCAATGTTCTGGATTGGTGTGCAAAAGACGTGAACATTTTGCACCTCGACAACAATAATCCGAGGCTTCCCAGTGGCGTCAAAGAAGCCTGTGCAAGTGAGTGGTCATTTGAAATTGTCAATGAAAATGGTCCAATGGTTTATGACAAGCGGGAAACACAAATGCTGGGAAAGTGTCATAGAATGGTCATGGAAAGAAGGGTGAGAACACAGTATGGAATAAAGTAAGGCGCACTTTGCCCCACTCATTAATGTCGTAGCAGCTGCAAAATTGTAAGTAAACCTGCTCATAGCTTAAATAAAGTCGAATATAGTTCACCGGATGTGCTGCTCCAATGCAGCCATTCGTTGGGAACGGGATGTGTCACCAGCTATAAATGTGTCACTACCTTTCAGCGCATTTTGAAAAGCATTACGTTAAGGGCATAAACCACATAAACGGAGATGGAGTTCTAGGCCTGTGGCACTCGGAGCAGCAAGCATTTTGCGCTCAGCTTGAACTAAGGTGTTTTGGCTAAGTTTCGAAATGTTTCCTCAAAAATGATTAGGGTTCAAAGGATTAACCAGACCATCTTGAAATCGTCTCTTTGACACAGATATCCTAGTACATACACTGAAAGAAACTTGGAACCGACTGAAATATCATACTTTCCAAAGTTTTTGGAATACAAATCGGTTTTATGTAGGCTTGTATCTGGAAAATGTTTCGTCCAAGCCAAAAGAAATTCTTCAAGTTAGGTGAACTAGTGCAGGTTTGGCTTGGCATTTTACGGCAAATAAGATAATGATAGCGCAAGATAACTCGGGTCACTGGAAAATATAGTTAAAGTTTCAAAAGCTGAAGTGGTCTATCTGGTGGAACAATGAGTATGGAACTATCCAAATTGACCCGTGTAACAGGTCATTCACATGTGAGGCAGTGATGATGTTGCTCCTGGCTCTAGTGATGATAGTTCAACGTTTCCGCTCTAATGTGAGTTCCTTCGCCAGAGCTGTCCGGGTAAAGACTTTCACGTTTTCGATATTTCCACGCCTGTATTCTGTTTCCACAATTATTGACTTTTGCGATTTCTAGCACCTCAGCATTTACTCTTTGGTTTGTTGTTCTTGCTCCCCTCAATATGATCTCTACATTGTCCCAGTTGATTGCCTGTCCCGAGTCTAGCGGATGGACCGCCATGGCGGAATATTGTTCTAAGGCCTTGTAATCAGGCTCATTTTTGGGGGAAGCGAAACTTACCTTTGTGTTCCGCTATCCCAGTGAGTCGTTCTCTTGCTGTTTCGCCTATGTACACCCTGAAACTAATTTAATAAACTCCATTCTAATTTCTATAACATGCCGAGCCAGACATGTGTTGCTTCTCCTTACATGAAGATGCTGTCGTGTCAGGAGCGAAAAACTGTCACAGTGCAAGCCCATAGAAAAGTGAGTTATATTCTAAAAAACGTTTAGAAATTATGATGTCCTAGTCAGTTCCAAGGTTATTCTAAGATAATGAGTTGCTTTACGGACCTCGCGTTAGTAAGTTGGTGAGTGAATTCGTGCGACCGGCTAGCATTGAAGCGTATTGGGAAACTAATCAAATCTTCAACATGCGGTTTCTCAACTGTGAGATTATTCCCAGAAGCTTCGTAGTCAAACCACCAGACAACTTATCTACATCTTCCATAGTCGCCTTCAACCCAGGCAGTGCATTTCTAAGACAACGGATTTATTTGACAACCAGACTCCTGAACGAAATTCGCCCTTCACGCTAATCGGCTGAGCTGAGTGCTGCAGACCGTTTTGACCCACGCAGACTACGAGAGACTTTACAACAAAGCCTCAGAAGTTAAGTCAATGCGAAAGAAATTTGCACAAGAAAGATAAATTCGGAAATTTGATCATTTGAGATCCGTACATTTCAGGACCACTAGTCTCACTGATAAGTCCGAATCCAATAGGATTTATTGCAAAATAGTTACTGTCATATAGGATGTTGAGCGAAACAGAACGTAGACTATTGTAAATGGGTTAAACGTTTCCTGTAAATATAAGTTTAGAAGAAGTCATTCCTAACATTAAGACAGTAGTAAAAAATTACCTGTTTCAAAAGCTGAGAACATTCGTGTACAGGTAGCAGATATTATCAGCTTGCAAAAACCTGGGAAGTTAAAGCTTGCAACAACAGAGTGTATCGCATTAACAGCCCAAAGGGAATACTCTACCATTATCATTACAAAATCCTATTAAGGTAAGGCCGTAGTGATAATGAATAAAGCAGGTTAGGTGGGAAAAATTAATTAGCCTTTAACAACAGACCTTACAAAAAGAGTGAGAAAAACGGTATCGTCGGTAAGGGAGGTTGGTAATTACCTGAAAAGTGCAAGGGCAGGGTAAATGGTGTAATGTATATCCGAACTTAACCCCCTCGCCAAACGGGCAACCTAAGATATATAAGCCAAGCATTCCCATTCGGCTCATTGTAGATGGTACCGGTTCTCCGACCCGAGAACTAGCCAGATATCTGCCAGGTTTGTTGATGCCCCTAACGGGGAAAACAAATACGTTCATAAAGCACGCTTATGATTTCGCGGGAATGGCGGCAGGTTTGACCATTGAGTCAGATGGAATAATCGATAACTTCGCCGTTATTTTACAATTAACGAAGGTGCCAAAGCAAGACGCACTGGGGGTATCACAACGCTATCTGACTAAGGACAGTAGCCAGGGGGAAAGAAGGTAACTCACAGTTGCCTACATAATAGAAAGAATGATAGCATACCTTAGTGTGTCAAATTTCATGCTCCAGTCGAGGCTGTGTACTCAGGAAAAGGGCCTCGCCATGAAGTCACCAATATCCCCAGTACTGATACATCTAAATAGTTTGAAAGGAAGATGTTGACAAAATCCAGTAGCTCGCCAAGGCTTTGGTGTTGCCATGTAGATGATACTTTTGTTATCAATGAGCGGGATAAGAAATCAGAGTATTTAAATTATGTAAACTTCATTAATGGGAACATTACCTTTACGACAGAACATGAACCTTGCAGGGATACACTGCAATTAGTAGCTTGTTTAGTTAACATGAACGGAGAACGGTTACAACCAACCGTATATCGAAAATCAACAAATACGGATGGAGCACACCAGGTCATCCGGAACACGTGTATGCTTCGATTGCGTCATCACTTTTTCACATTGCTTGGGCATTGTGCACATAGAAAGAGGACAGGAGGGCCGCACGGAAAGAGGCAACGAACAAACAAACAGGTAGTGGATATCCCAGGCGGTTAGTTAAACGTCAGAGAGCGCTGAAACCCCCTTCACGATGTACGCAGGAGTGGATGGAGAAGGTGGAAATCCCTTATAAAGAGGGAATCTCTGAAGCAATCATACAGGTATCAAACAAGAGAATAAGGGCGGTGTTCCATAGAGGCTTAACTATCCGTTCAGCATCGGTGCGTTTAAATGATCTATTTTCAAAAGATGGGATGACCAACTGCGCCTATATAATTAGTTGCAGCGACTGTGCGCAGATGCACATAAGAACTACAGGGATAGCAGAAAACAGAAGGTAAGTTTCGCGTCCCCCAAAATAGCAGCCTAATTACAAGCCAATAGCAAAATATTCGGCGGTGGCGATCCATCCGCTAGACTCGGGACAGGCAATCGACTGGGACAATGTAGAGATTATATGGAGGGGAGCAAGAACAACAAACCAAAGGGTAAATGCTGAGGTGCTAGAAATCGCAAAAGTCAATAATTGTGGAAACAGAATACAGGCGTGGAAATACCAAACGCATGGCGGGCTGTTTTAACTAGTCCGGGTTTGTCGAATTGACTCAAGTTGAAGGGGAAGCGTCGGACAACAGTATGTTCAAAAAGATCGGTCCTACTTTACTCAGTTGCCCCGTAAACAAGGTGCTCGCAATTTGGCAACACGGGGCGCAGTAAATTGCCAACTTTCCAATGGCAGATGTTGATCACACGTATCTCCGGTCACCCGGTCACTGGGGTATAACAGGCTGTAGTGATGGCGGAATGCCAGGCCAGCAGGCCTGCATCCTCGGTACTGGTGTTCTGACATCGGATTGACAAACAAACCAAGACCGGCATGAGTTGCCACACCGACGTTGGAATGCCTGGCCAGCATGCCGTTATCGTCAGTCGGGTGTTAAACGATGGCTGGGCAGTCTAAACCACCTGCACGACGTGAGTGAGAATGCATTTGCCTCACCGATTTGATTGGTCTTGACACGATCTATGGATAACCGCTGTGAAGCAGGTTAATAGGCTATCCACAGCGATCGCTATCTTTTTTCTTTCTATATTTCAATTTGGTCCATATCTACGTCAGCCTGAATAAAGCTACAGCGCACCACGCTTTGGTTGTGTGAACGAAAATGCCGCGTTGGTCATATGCAGACTAACATCCAATGGCTACCGACCTTGTTTTACGAAGTGCAGAATGGCAGTGGTAGTGTTTGTGATACTGTATTGTACGTTGCGTAACGATTAGACTGGGGAAATAGCTAAACAACATATAGTGGCCATATGTGGTTGGGGCGCTGTGGTGACGTTTTATGAGCGTGCTCAAACAGCGTGGGATCTAGCAACGGAATGATCGTAATCGCATTCACACGAAGGCCGTAAGCACAGCCTAAAGGTTTTTCTCTAGTGAATTAGGGACCGAGGTTGCGAACCAGTGAATGACATTCCACAGCTAGCACACTGTCAAGGAGAGGTTAAGGCCGTATTATGACCGGCCAAACTGCCTTGCCAAACTTAAACTTACGACTTCGCAGGTGGGTGTTATAAGTGAATTACAGATTGCAACATAGGACGCTGACATTCTTCAGGATTTGGTAAGCCAGCATGAGGTAACCGATGCTACTGACCTTGAGTACCCCACGAAAAGGTCAATACCAATTGTGTACATCCCGAGGGATTTTGATATGAGCTGGTAGACAACTGATGCAGGCCTTTAGCATGCTCGGTTTCCCTTCCTTGCCGAGTTTAGCCAGCAGCGAGACCTTGTTTTTACCGTGGATGCCACACAGAATTGGTATATTCCATGTGAGGTTGCACACTTGTGACATCTTGACCGAGTAAAA